GTCCCGTTCAAGGGCGGGGCAGGGGGCACACGGGGGCTTGTGTGCGTGCGCTATGATGCAGTTTACTTGGCATCTGGCAATACATTTCCTCAAAGGCATTTTTAATCTGAAAATGGCTTCACTGAGTGAGAACTAATGTTGAGAGCTCAGAAGCTAGGTTTCACTTTCACTTTGACCCGAGAGCCTGCAGGAGTCATGGGCGGGGTGAGTGGGGGAGGGGTTGCGCTCTGCCATGAGGAAGTTCAGCTTAAAGACACGTCCCAGGGGCGTTTCTGGACCCAAAAAGCGTTTCTGGTTCCCACCTCTCGTTGTGCAACTCAGCATGGCTGCCTAAAAACGCTGCAGGATTTCTTCAGGAGTAAGAACAAGGCTTTGGACATGTTTTTTTTATGAGAGTATAACATTATAGCATGATATAAAACTCAAAAAAGTTGATTTTACATCATATTGCCCCTTTAAGGTTTGCACCAGACACACATGATTCACAATTAATACATCCACATGTACGCACTTAAAGTAATGGTGCCAAAAGTACCTTCAACAAGAACACATTCAGCTTTGTTGAAAGACATTATAAATGGCACAATACGCAGAGTGTGTATTTARACACAGAGGATTTTCTGGTCCACGATGGTGACTGGCTCATCAGTCGTTTTCAGCTTCCAAGAATAATTCTTTTGTGCTTTGAGCTGTGACTGGGAGCGCAACACAGCAGCTGAAAAGACACAGCCTCCTCTGTATGATTCCAAAATATAAATCCCCAACACTGCGGTGCGTAATTCTGCAATTAAAATTGAAATTAGGCACAGTTTTTTTACCGACTCGTAAACCTCTACCCATATTTACTTCTGAGAGATTCAGCTTCTCTAAAATGCTCTTTTTATACCAAATCCTCTAACAAACCTGTTGCCAACTAAGTGAATTTACAGAATGCAATCATTGCATTCTGTTTTTATTTAYATTTTCCACATTGTTGGAAYTGGTTGATTCGTGCTTCATKTAACTGTTTGTCTCCCATATAAAGCCACTAAATTAAAAGCAAAACTTGAAAACATTTCCCACCATGCCATCTGTTGCCTCCCTCCCCCAATCCATGCACAGGTGGACGTGCACCCAAAGCAGCATCTCCCCACAGTACAACCTGTGCGAGCAGATGATGCAGATCAGGGAGGACCACATCCGTTTCATCTCAGAGCTGGCGCGCTACAGCAACAGTGAAGTGGTGACAGGCTCGGGCCTGGACAGCCAGAAGTCAGACGAGGAGTACAGAGAGTTGTTTGACCTGGCCCTGAGGGGTCTGCAGCTGCTGTCCAAGTGGAGCACACACGTCATGGAAGTTGTGAGTAAAAAAGAGGGATTAATCGTGCTCCATTATGCCGGTTGAGGTTAGAAAGGTGTAATGAGCTRTGGTCTGTTTTCATCCTTCTCAGTATTCTTGGAAACTGGTGCATCCTACGGATAAATTCTGCAACAAGGACTGTCCAGGGACGGCAGAGGAGTACGAGCGCGCCACACGTTACAACTACACCAGTGAGGAGAAGTTTGCCCTGGTGGAGGTCATTGCCATGATCAAAGGCCTGCAGGTAAAACTCGAAATAATCTTCATCAAATTATGTTTGTGTATCAATCTGAATGCACATATAAGTAGGTACTGGCAATAGGGCTGCCACGATTAGTCGATGAATCGACGACTAATCGGTTATTAAAATAATCGATGACTAATTTAATAATCGATTAATCGATTTTTTTTTTCTTTACTTTGTTTTTCTCTCCAAACTGCTTTGACACCTTCCACTGCCACATCTGCCTTTCTGTCCTTGACACACATGCACASTAGTGGTAACTGGGGTAGGCTGTGGACGTCACAAGACATTATGCAGACAGGCTCTGGTATTATGGCTATCTGGCAATGGAGCTCAAAAGTGTGGGATCATTTTAAGAAAATGAAAGAGAAACCTGTGCAATATCTGCAGAGCAGAACTTACCTTCCACAACAATTGTTTTTTAGTTAGCATATAACTAAAATCAAATGATGGATATATACAGTAATAGCAGCTGCATTCTGGCGCGATAAGATGTATGTTTTATATTCAATTAACGTATGATCTGATTAATCGACTAATCGAAAAAATAATCGATGATTAATCGGCTATAAAAATAATCATTTGTGGCAGCTCTAACTGGCAATCACTGCTCCAAACCCCTGGAAAACAGTAGAATATGGAGCTAGAAGRGTGTCAATAAACACAAATGTACACAGGACATTTCACACATGCACAGGACAAGATTCACATACGCATAGGAAGATTCACGTGCACAAGACAATATTCACACATGCATTTCTTATGCACACAAATATATCTTGATTTGCAAGATATTTGTGAGTGAATTTTAAGACCCATAATTTGGCTTGACTCACATGTTCCTTTTTGTTAACAACGAATGATCTGCAACCAATCAGACACCTACCTTTTTTCAGCCAATCGTAGGAACACACCCCACGTGGGGTATGATTTACTTATAAACCAAACACATTCAAAAAACRTTCTATTGTTAAATAGTTTGGATTTGACAACCTCTATCACGTGCAGTGATAGAAGCAAACTTGCACAAATGCTCTCATTTGGCTCCAGGGAACAGCCTGAACGTCAGCTGGCAGAGCGAGAAAAAAATGTTTTTAATCCGACTCTTGGAAAATGTACTGGTGCTGTGTTGGAATGTGATCAGCACTAATTTTAATATCACCAGATTTCCAAGCGTTTGACAACCTTTCCAAAGATACAGTACATTGTTAGTCCCAATGAAATTTATTAAAGAAAAAAATAAAAAGTCTACTTCTTTTTATTCTCAACATTTCTCTGTACTGTATTTTTTTGACGCAATCCCATTACAAAGTCCCAGGTAAACTAGGTATCAAAATGAACCTTGTGGCATAAACTTTTCAAAGAGTAAAAAAAATTTAAAAATTGTCGCACTCTAATCCAATACAGTGCCAGACCATTGAAACGGGGGTGGTGGGGGTGGGGGGGTTTCCATTTGCCAATCAAATTGCTGCTAAATAACCTTCTTTTCCAAGCAAAGTCAAGTAACTAAACTAAATTAGAGATGTTCTACCTACATAGTACTTTAGCAAATAAATAAATAAATAAATAAATAAAGTTTGTGGCAATGCAAGATAACCAAAAGATGGCATTAGTTTCTTAAAAAGGCCACCTATTCAGCTTTGGGTAAGTTGACTGGCCACTGTATGTTGAAAACTGTTCAGTGAAATTGAACAAAACTTTCAGTGCTTTCTTTTGACACCAAATTAATGTGTTTGAGTAAAAAAAAAAATCACACTGGTTGTGAAATTTAAACATTGAGTGCCAGTACCTAATACTGTATAAGAAGTTTGTGGCGCTCAGTGTTTCAGTAGGTATTCTGATTATGAAATACTCACAAGCTAATGACAGTGTTTCCTGTTCCGTGTAGGTTCTGATGGGTCGAATGGAGTCAGTATTTAATCAGGCCATCAGGAACACGATCTACGCAGCTCTGCAGGACTTTGCCCAGGTGACCCTTCGAGAGCCTCTGCGCCAGGCTGTACGAAAGAAGAAGAATGTCCTCATTAGGTACCCGTAGCATGAAAACATAGGAGAYTTTTTTATGGTTCAAACTAAAAAAAACATTATGTAGTACCTACTGTACATCAGTTGTTTATTTTCTTTTCTACAGTGTTCTCCAGGCCATTCGAAAGACTGTCTGTGACTGGGAGGGAGGAAGAGAGCCTCCAAATGACCCATGTCTGAGGGGGGAAAAAGACCCAAAGGGTGGGTTTGACATTAAGGTGCCTCGTCGAGCTGTTGGACCCTCCAGCACACAGGTCAGACAAGAAACTGATGGGAGAATATAATGCTACAGGGAGAATATAATGTTGTATTGTAAATGTAATTGATTTTTTTCTCTACCCTCTGCAGCTGTACATGGTGCGCACCATGCTGGAGTCACTCATAGCAGACAAAAGTGGGTCTAAGAAAACTCTCCGCAGCAGCCTTGATGGACCCATAGTAGTGGCCATAGAAGACTTYCATAAGCACTCTTTCTTCTTCACACACTTGCTGAACTTCAGTGGTSAGTTGAAAATCTCAATGTAAATTTTCAATAGTTTAGAGTTTGTGCATACAGCTAATGTATTGGTTTATTTGTTTTTGTGTCAAAACAATATAATAGCATCTGTAAACAGGATATGATGTGTTTTAGGTTGAATGGCTAGACTTTTAATAAGTTCTCTCCCTGTTGTGTTCTGCTGATCAGAGGCCTTGCAGCAGTGCTGTGACCTGTCCCAGCTGTGGTTCAGGGAGTTCTTCCTGGAGTTGACCATGGGCCGCAGAATTCAGTTCCCCATCGAGATGTCCATGCCTTGGATTCTCACCGACCACATCCTGGAGACTAAGGAGCCTTCGATGATGGAGTAAGATCAGTGAATTGACCCACTCAGTCTGGGTTTAAGCTTTAAAAACACAGGCTTATAATGTCTATCCTTTCTCCTTCAGATACGTGCTTTATCCTCTAGACTTGTATAACGACAGTGGCTATTACGCTCTCACTAAGTTCAAAAAGCAGTTCCTGTATGATGAAATCGAAGCTGAGGTAAGGCCCAACTCTGCTTTGAATTTAAACACATTAGGTTATAATCTCAAATATCACAAAAGCCAGTACATTCATGGTATTTACCTAATTTCCCTCTGGGATCAATAAAGTATTTTTGAATTGAATTGAATTGTATTTTGGTTGCTTTTAGGTAAACCTCTGCTTTGATCAGTTTGTGTACAAGTTGGCTGATCAGATCTTTGCTTACTACAAAGCAATGGCCGGAAGGTAGAGAAGTTCACTTTCCTTACAATATTTTTGAAGTTATTGGCAGAGGAAACTTTTTCACCTAAATTCAATCTGATGTGCTCCACAGTGTCCTCCTAGACAAGCGCTTCAGAGCCGAGTGTAAAAACTACGGTGTTATTATCCCCTATCCTCCGTCAAACCGCTACGAGACGCTGCTCAAACAAAGACACGTACAGGTACAAGAAAAATGTTCTCCGTTTAGTTTTATCATCACMGAATTTTAGCCGTTTGCCGTTTAAATCTGTAAAGCTGTATTTCTTGGCCGTTTATCAGCTGCTGGGTCGATCAATCGACCTGAACCGTCTGATCACCCARAGGATTTCTGCAGCGATGTACAAGTCTCTGGACCACGCCATCAGCCGCTTTGAGAGTGAGGACCTCACCTCTATAGTGGTAAGGTTATTCTCAGAGATACTTCTGACGGTGTCCTCTTCATCTTTCCTAAGTCTTCGTCCTGATACCCCTACAGGARTTGGAGTGGCTGTTGGAGATCAACAGACTAACCCACCGACTACTGTCCAAGCACATGACTCTGGACAGCTTTGACGCCATGTTTCGCGAGGCCAACCACAACGTCTCTGCTCCCTACGGACGWATCACGCTCCACGTCTTCTGGGAGCTCAACTTTGACTTTCTCCCGAACTACTGCTACAACGGATCCACAAACCGGTCAGTTTGATGGTGCAGAAACACTGTGGTTTGGTTTCCCGTTTGGCTGTTTTGAACTGTTTTCTTCTCTCCCTCAGCTTTGTACGCACAGCTATCCCCTTTACCCAGGAGCCTCAAAGAGATAAGCCAGCCAACGTGCAGCCTTACTACCTGTATGGGTCTAAGGTGTGATCTCATCCTGTCTCATATTAAATTTTTCCTMAAAGCTTTCAACCATTTCTGTCTTCCCACTGCATCAGATTGCCTTGTTTTCTCACTCTTTCCTCTSTTCTTTTCAGCCTCTGAACATTGCCTACTCCCACATATACAGCTCCTACCGAAACTTTGTGGGCCCGCCTCACTTCAAGACCATCTGCCGCCTCCTCGGTTACCAAGGCATTGCTGTAGTGATGGAAGAGTTACTTAAGATTGTCAAGAGCCTGGTATTTTATCTTGATTTTTACCTTCCCTAACAGCACATGGCTTTTGYGCCGCAGTATGATGGGTTTTTAAACTTGTTATAGCTTTTTTTATATTTTATTCTCCCTTGGCTTTCTGTGATTTTCRTACATCTTCTTTGTCACTTTGCAGTTACAGGGCACCATACTGCAGTATGTCAAAACTCTGATAGAAGTCATGCCCAAGATCTGCCGTTTACCGCGCCACGAGTATGGCTCCCCAGGTGAGCTGCATTAGAACTTTTTTTTTATTTTAAATTGTCGTTCTTGAAGGTTTTTTTTGTGAGAAGATAATGAAATTAGGTTTTCAGCTTATTTCTAAATTCTTGCAAATCTAGACAAATTCAGGGCTCCAGACTAACTTTTTGCACTGGTTGCACCGGTGCGCCTCACATTTTTTCTTAGGTGCACCTGCACAAAAGTTAGCTGCACCCAAATTTTCAACCACGTCACATTTAACATCAGAGTTTTACAGGTTATTTTTTAAATCACTGTTCATTAAGGCAACATTAATTCAAAAGTAATTAGTTAACAATCTAGTAAACAAAGTTCTTTATTTGAACCATAATTGTAGACATTTAATTTACTGAAAAGTATTTAAAGTGATTCTATAAAATTCTAAGTGCAAATGTTTAACATTGTCTTATAAACATCTTAAACATTTCATGGTTACATTTTTTTAGACACCTGTCCCTCAGATGGACAATTATGGCCTAACTTTGGCCTTGGATCAACCAGAATGATGAACAGAGAATAATGATTAATAACAGAAATATTACTGATATTTATTAAAAGGTTGTGCAGATTTTTTTTTAAATAACACATAAAAGTCTGCAATTTCATCATTAGTTGAATTTTATTTAAGTGAAATAATATAAGATAATATCTAATATGTCTAGTTTTTTCCTCCTGAGACCCAGAAGAACCTATTTCAGATACTTGGAATGTAACTGTGGTGAAGTCGATTAAGTGTAAAAGCGGCCTGCCATACACATGAACTTCCTTGTCCTGCTGAAATGATCTGCAGCGCTCAGACCCCGACTGTTAAATTAACAAGATGGATGAGCGAGCAACCGTCCACATCTTGTTTTCATCTCCAGCTAACAAGAAAGAACTGGTTTTCAGACTCAGATCTGGGTAAAAAAAAAAAAAAGAAAAGAAAAAACTCCGGTTGTTTCGCTATGCGTGCACGCACGCGTGTGTGTGTGTACAGATTTTTGCTTCATTGTGGGTACAGTTATTGACCATTTCCCCAGTACACACAGCCAGGTGAGGTTAGGGTTTGGGTCAGGTGTGTAGCCTACCTGGGAGGTTATGGTTGGATATAGAATTGACGGRRAAATGAATGGAAGCCRATGCAAAGTCCCCATGAGGATAGAACAACAAACGTGTGCGTGCGGGAGGTGTGGAGCGGAGCCGCGAGCAGAGCGCAGTGTTATTAGGAGAGATGARACTGTCGGCGGGCGGCCATTGATACTGCTGGATTATTTTTATGGAACATGATGAAAACTTTTAGTTTCAGCRGGCGACCGCTCTCCCTCCCCSTCGGTCGCACCAGTGYGACCGGACATTTTKTTTAGTCGCACTATTAGGAAATCTAGTCGCATTTSCGACCAAAYTGGTYGAACTYTAGAGCCCTGATATTTGTAAAAGCTGATATGGTCTAGAAGGACCATGGCAAACACTGACATTGGTGTTTGTTCATAGATGATATTAGTAAGAAGTTCAAAATACTTTTTTGAAAATAAAATTTTCACCTTTTCCCTAGAATTATTGGGGGGGCCAGGGTTGCCTTGCCCCATCCCCAATAGATCTGCCGGCTTACGAAGGTCACAGTATGAAATAAATTAATAAACCAAAGCTGATACATTAKTACTCACCCCTGCCTAGGTGCTCCAACCTCCCCAAGACTTTGGTATTCTAAAAATTAACATTGTRTTGAATGCTAATGAGTCCAGAGCATCACCATTAGCATACAGATACATCTGACTAGCAGAAACAGAGAGCCGCCTTGCAGGAGGGTGCAGTATGCTTGAGTGTCTTGCTTGGTGTTACTCACTGTTTTTTTCTGTTTTAGTTTTTAGGAATAAACTGTTTTAACACGAAAAGACTTTTGTATTCCCTAAATTATAGCAAAAGTGTGCCTTGGTTTGAAGGGGGTGCATTATGCAAAATCAACTTTTTTGAGCTTTATATCATGTTATAATGTTATTCCCTCATTACARACGTACCCAGAGTTTTGCTTTGAATCATTGTTTTAGAAATCCTTGAATCTTCTGTGGTAGTTTTGTGGAACTGCCCAAACGCTTGCTGGTACAAAGCGTATGAAGTTATTTGTACAAAGCTCCTCCCTGGAGCTCAGTCTGCATMCGAGCTCCCGCCCCACAGAGCACCCCTCCCTCGAAGCATTGTTGTGAAGATGTGGTGAAGTGGGAGTGTCAGAAACAGTAGGATGTTCTAGAGTAACTTACCCCAAAATTAAGTTTTTTAGCTGATAAACTGTCTAGAATGTGTCTAAAATGTTATATAGTACTGTTTCTGTGCTAATTTTGATGTTT